TATATGATTAGCCGTATGTATGGGATATTAAAATTGTATTAATATACTTTCAGCGACGAAGTCGTCGTACAGATTCAAGTGGACCCAGAAGGAGTACCTATACAAGAACATAAGTCTATCATGCTCTGTGATAGAGGTGAGATTTTTTTAATTAAAAAAAGTAATTAAGGTAAACCTTATGTTTCATATAATTTGGTTTGATAAAAGTTTTGTTATTGTCATAGATTTTTTGAAATAAAAAATGAATCCAGATTAAATTAATAAATGATGTATATTATATTAATAATTTCCATATTATTAATTTGAGTTGTATTTGATATAACTGTTATATATACACAAAGACTTCAATATATTTGTCATATATAATAACGCGCAAATGGGTATGAGGCACACCTGCCATTCACTGACACTTCCGCCCATGGGCATACACTACCAACGTTGCCGATCTATTAAAAATATGTATTATGTTTTTGAAGAATCATCAATCAAATTCATTTATTATTTTTTTGGAGTAATCAAAATTACTAAATGTAATTAGTCTAATTGCTATTAACTAAAGTAATTCTCCGTCTCTTTATGTCAAATTGTATTTTCGCTGTGATAGAAAGAGATGGAGTACTTTAGTTAAAATTACTACGATCAAAATTTTCAGACGTACCTGGGTCGGTAGAGTCCAAAGTCCATTGGAATTGGTCAAGAGTAGATGTTGTACCGGGAACAGAATCGGTGACTGTATGGGCTGCGAGTGATATTACTGGACCTCTTCTGGCTGTAAGATTTTTTTTTAATCTAAACTAATTTTATTGTGTGTTAGTTAGCGCCAAAACTTTTTTTATATATACCTAGTCCATAAATTCTGTTACAAATGAAAATGCATTTTTTTTTATGAAGTAATGTAATATTATTAAATTTTTTACCTACATGTTTTTTAAAGTCTTAGCAAAAAATAAGAATATGTATATTCTATTCGAAATGGCCACCTTTGGCTTTTATTGTTGCATTTGTTACGAACACGAAAAAATATGTGAAATGGCGCAAAATTGAAAGAAGTTTTTAAAATAATATACGTGTTTCAAATTTAAAAGTTGGAAAAAAACAAAAAGTTTTTAAGTAACAGTATTTATGGCCAGACTAGTTATACAACGGGTAATCGGGTACGAGGCTCACCTACTGTCTATTATGCCTATATCCTCACCAACGACCTATTAAGAAAATGTACAATGTTTTTATAAAGAATCATCAATCAAATGTTCCATATCGTATTGGTGTCTAGAATTTCATTAATTCATCCATTTTTCGGAATAATAAAAAAGTACTCCTTCGTCTCTTTCTGTCAAATTGTATCTATATGTCACCGTAAAATTGCAAATACCGTTAGATTAAAATCTATCTCGCGAGATTGTGAACTGTCGAAAGATTGTGAACCTCAACGTACTTGAGTTTTACAATTTAACGTATTATTATTCGGTAGATTGTAATATATCGACGTGAAACCGTCAAATTACATTCTTAAAATTGTCAACTGTCCGATAGCTGTCCCTGATTGGTCGGCTTTATAGTAGACCGTTCTGTGTCCATAGAGTTAGGAACAACAAACAAATATTGGTATTATACTTATACCAAGTCAGTCAATTTCTTCAGTCCCTACTTAAGCGACCTTCTCAAGTAATTACTTATACTGAACATATCAATATTATAAATCTTTTTCTTTAAAATAAATAGATTGACTTGGTCATCAGATTATCTCAGCAAATAAGTTTTTTATTTTTATTAATACATATGTAATGGAATGATATTTCATTAATTTGAATTTGACGCGTCGGAGTGACACGCGATAAAATGGCGGATGACGTGTAGATTAATTTACTGGATTGTATTGTAAAAAGATAGATTAAAGGATAAGTGAACATTAAACGTCGTTTTACATTTTCTTTTTTTATCTTTTTACAATACAATCCACTAAATTAATCTACACGTCATCCGCCATTTTATCGCGTGTCACTCCGACGCGTCAAATTCAAATTAATGAAATATCATTCCATTACACATATAAAAAAATAAACATTTAGTAATATATAAATAAATAATAAAACGTAAATTGCAACCTTAGAAAACCAACAGATATAGCGATGTAGACATCGTAATTTATATTCGATCGTTAAATAGGACGCCGACGCATTAGTTCTCTTGCCTCGTGGCTGTGGTGAGCAGAACATGGCTCGTCTCGCGACCAACTTGCTTGCGCTTGCGCAACTCCATCCCAATTCACCTGCTGCGTACACCGCAAAAGATCACGTTGCAAGAGGTCAGTATATTATTTTATAATTATATATCACCTTTGGATTTTTCGAAGATTTTTAATTTATTTACTACGCTAATATTTCATATCAAAAATGTAATTATAAATATTTAAAAAATTAAATCCGATTTCCGAAAACATTTAAAAGTATTTTACATTCCTTTTGAAATTCTGACAATTTTTTTTATTTTTTATTATTTCCAGTGTTACTTAAATAAAGTTATTTCCAGGTTTCGCTCGTCAACTCCAATATGTGCATACGTCTGGAGGCTTCAGTGCCTTCGGTTCTTCCGACCTTCTATCTTCCACCTGGCTTACAGCTTTCTCTGTGCGATATCTTAGAAGAGCACATCAAGTATGATTCATTTGTAACAAATAAAAAAGAAATTACACTGAAATAACCGCGTATAGAAAAAACTCCTTAACGGATTTGATGAAACTCGGACTGTTCCCTAATATAAAATAAATAAATCAGTGGCGCTACAAACTTTTTTTTTGGCCTCAGATTTCTGTATCTGTTTCATGATAATTTGTTAATCTAATAGGCAAGTAGGTGATCAGCCTCCTGAGCCCAATATATGCTGTCGATTTTTGGGTCTAAGGAAAGCCGGTATCCACACGATGTTATCCTTCACCGTTCGAGCGAATGTTAAATGCGCACATAGACAGTCCATTAGGGAGCGTTCAAGTATTACGTAACGAATTTTGAGGGGGGGGGGGTCCTTTTATAAAACGTTACGATGCGGGGCGGGGATTGAATAACGCGTTATTGTTAATATTATTTTCGACTTTCCAGTACTTTACACCACATAATGGTAACTTTTAGGTATGAAGAGCCACGAAACGTTTTACTATTGGGTACAGAAAAACGTTACGGCGCGTTACATCAGGGGGGTCAATAATCCCCAAAAATTGCGTGACGTAATACTTGAACGCTCGCTTAGTGCACAGCCGGGGATCGAACCTACAACCTCAGGGAAGAGAGTCGCACGCTGGAGCCACTAGACCAATCCTGCTCCGGTCTCTAATAATACTGAGTTTAATTATTTGGATATACTTTTAGTTTTTAAGAAATTTGTGGACATACATAAATACACTTACGAAATTAAGCTGGGCCTTGGGACTAGTCAGTGACTAGTAGTTCAACTAATGTACAAAAAGAACTACTTCCAAAAATAGATAGATTTTCATTTCCTGTATAACTATACACACAAATATAATTCTTATACAAATGTAAATACTTTTTAATAAATTTTCTATCTAGAAATATACATATTTTTATCTATCTTAGGTAATATCTCCAGGACGGCCCATACCCCGAGCAGTGGAGACTGCAGAAAAGTGGTTGTTATCTCAGCAAATGGAGAATGGCTGCTTCCGGAATGAGGGTCAAGTCTTCCACAGAGAACTCAAGGTAACATTTAATGGGAGAGAGAAAAAAAAACTTGATATTCTTCATATATCATTAAACATTGATCTTTTATTGCTCCCGCCATAAGTTCACCATTTTATCAAGGATCAAGGAGTACATAGACCTGACCTCCCCTAGCTTGTCAGGGTCTCAAATTTTTAATTGATTTTGTTAAATCGCTATTCTTTTTTATATAGAACAGGGGGAAAACGGACAGGACACTCACCTGTTGTTTAATGATACCACCGCCCATGGACACTCTCAAAGCCATAAGACTCATGCGTTGCCGGCCTTTTAAGAATTGGTACGCTCATTTCTTGAAAGACCCTTTGTCGAATTGGTTCAGACATACTTCAGTGGGTAGCTCCACATAGTGGTGGCGGCAAAGACTGCCTTAAAAAAACGCTCAGTTGTGGAACGACGGACGTCGATGTCGATACAGACTATAAAAACAAACCAAATCGCTCATTTTTTTTGACGCGATTTCTAGATCCGCCCTTTCATGATATCGTAAAAATTTTTAACTGCATTACAATAATTCAATGCTTTAACATGAATGAGGAGCATAATGGTTGCAGCAGCTCCTTATAAACATATTTTTGTTTATCTTGAAAACCTTTTACCTTTTAAAAATACTTGGTAATTTAAGAGTGACGAAGAGTTCATTGCCAGTTCTTCTTTCGTTCAACGTGATTTGAGAACTGGCAGTAAATGTTAATTTAGGAATATTTACTTTAAATTTAAATTTTTATACGTATTATTCACACACCTTTACACATATTCACACACCCACTCATTGTTATATTTTATTTTGTCTATAACTTTAGTTTAGTCATAGTATGTAGTACGTTTTTGTATATTTTCTGTCCGCGAAAAAGGCTGGACTTGTTACCACAGGACTTCTTCAGTTGTATTAGGTAAAGGCAGCTGGTGCCTATAATAGACACAAAGATGGTCAATACCTGCAGCAAGTAAACCAGCTAAATTGAAACTGGCATGAAGTTAAAACTATTGCCATAATATTAAAAAAAAACAGCTAAACGCAATATTGTGAAGAGGCTTTATTACAACAATAAATTATATTTTTATTTGATCTGACATATAGCGTATCTGAAGCTAAAAGCTAAATATTGTATTTCCATAACAGGGTGGCCTCAACGAAGACGGAGAAATAGCAAGTGTTACCCTTACCGCTTACGTCATAACGTCTCTAATAGAGAGTACAATCCCAATCCCCCATAAAGTCATACAGAACTCCCTCTCTTGCCTCAGAGCAATGCCTCCTAAGAAGAATCCCTCTAGAGCATATGCGTACAGCATAATAACCTATGCCTTTATGAGGTTAAGGCGGTATGAGAGGGAGTTGAAGCAGAGTAATGAGGCGACGAGTTGGGGATTAGGATTGGGGATTGATGAGGAGATGAGGGAGCTGGTGGGTCTATTGAAGATGGCGAAAAGTAGTAGCAACTACGTGTGGTGGGAGAGTGGTAAGTTTTGATTTCAGAAGGTTTATTAAAGTTTAATTCTATGGGCGCATTTAAACACTTGATCGTAAGGTGAAGGAAGTCATCATGAGGGAACCGGAAGGCTTTTGACCGTAAATTCGCAGTGTGTGAGTGAGGCACACCTTCAGACTCTTATACCTGACGTCGAAGGTTCGAACCCCAACACCAAACTTTTTAAGTGCGCGTTTATGGATACTCGTTTGGTGAAGGAAAGCATCGTGAGAAAACCGGCATGCCTTAAACGCAAAAAGTAGACTGGCTTTCAAACTAGCTTTCAGTTGCAGCAGGTCCTTCGCCACTGTGTCGATCCAGCTGGTCTCCGACCACTAGGCCTGTGAATATTGCAGCTTTATTTAAATAAATAAATAATTTTCAATATTAATACTTATGTGTAAAGAGCTGGTACTGGCTCAAGGAATAAGTATCGCATTTCCTTAACTTATAATTTTTTTTTTTTGTATTATTATTACTATGTAGGTTGAGAAAATTTGTAAATATTGTATATTTAGTAACCTATATATGTAAAATAACATTTTGTTATTAACATCTAATGTTAATAAAGGCAGCCTAGCGACATCTATCGAAGCGACTGGTTATGCGCTGCTTGCGCTGTCAGAGTGCGTCGCAGACTTGCGCAATACATGCGCAAACGACGCAACTCGCGCCACCTTGTGGCTCGCTACTCACACCAACGCTGCCGGCGGATTCATCTCTACACAGGTATATTAGTATAAATAGTACTTTTCATACTTCTTTCAGTTATCTTAAAAAGAACTCCCGCGTATGTTTCACTGGTCAACTTCTTTTACGGATTCTTTTCTTTTTTGGAGACAAAACGAGTTTGCAGTAATCCAATGCATCTTAAGTTGGAACAGAGAAGATGATTGTTTTGTAAACTATATATATAAAAGGTTTTAACTAGATTTTAATTTATACAAACAATACTAAATAACATAAAATCTCATCTCAAACACCACGAACATGGCATTAGCTAAGTGGTATTGAGTTTCCCGGAGTAGTAATATCCTAAGAAAAAGAAACAAACGCACACTCATGCCCCATGCCCCATAAAAACTTTATTATTATTTTAATTTTATTGTCTTTACAGTGTAAAACGAATTTCAAGGGACCGAGCATTTTTATACGTTATAGAGAGGTTTCGTAATGGGGAGGGAAGAATTAATGTATGGGTATTGGGTTAAATCAAATAAATTTAACTCATTTTTATGTTATATAGAGTTATTACGAATGATGTTATAAAGAGCTTACACTGTACTATGTTTTTTTAAATAAATGCATTCCTGAGTTTTGCTTTAAAAATTTACCATACAATATTTCTAGGACACACTAGTCGCTTTAGAAGGTCTCACGGCATGGTCATCAATCGTACCCGCAAACAGCAGTCTATCAGTGAGGGTGGCAAGTGGGGTGGTCAGCAAAACCGTTGCCATCACGTCATCCAACAAACTGCCAGAGGTCATCAAGCTACCAGTTGGGGATGTCGATGTTACTGTTGATGGTAAGTCATCTTCTATTAGAATATAATAAGTGGTATGTTTCGATGTGAGCAGTGTTGTCCTCGTGGCTTCAGCGTGCGACTCTCATCCCTGAAGTTGTAGGTTCGATCCCCGACTGTGCACCAATGCACTTTCTTTCTATGTGCGCATTTAACATTCTCTCGAACGGTGAAGGAAAACATCGTGAGGAAACCGGCTTGCCTTAGACCCAAAAAGTTGACGGCGTGTGTCGGGCACACGAGACTGATCACCTGATGCCTATTTCGTGTATCTGTTTGTTTTTCCTAATCAGCCTTTTGTGCCTGACCCACGTTCCACAGGGACGACAGTCCAACGCTAAAGCCACTAGGTCTTTAGACAGATTATGCTTAAGAACTTTATTCTCACGAAGACAAATCGCGTAACCATCGAACAGTTCCGTCTATCGTCAGCCTTCTAAGCTCAAATCTATACCTTTAATGCCCTGCTAAATTTAATACTGCAAAGTTTTGAAGCAATTAAATCATCGCATAGCTTCATAGTATATCTTTAAATAATTTTATTTTTAATTTTTATGTAGATTTTTAACCTGTTCGGCTTAGGTACTGGATGTGCATTAATCCAAGCAACTCGTCAATATAACACTCTAAAGCCAGAAGATAAACAAAACAAATTGCTCAAAGTACAAGTGGATGTACAGACCGACGGAACGTTTAACTGTGATGGAAATAATACCTGCTTCTGTGCTGCCGTTGTGGAGGTTTGGGTTATTTCAATACATTATTTTCGTTGTAACGAATTAATGATTTTTTGAAAAATTTAATAAAATATTCTTACGCAAATATTAATATATTATTTATATATTTTTCGTCTCAAATTTATTTTTACTAAAATTTTTTATGTCGTCACATTATAATATTTTTGTAGTAAATCTAGGACTTTGGATTACGTCCTTCAATCATCAAAATATCGAAAAGGTTTCTTAGCGTCTTTCATGATCAGCGGTTTACTACGCTTATAATATATAATAAAATAAAATAATAATATATAATTAAAAATATCTATTACACCTATGTTAATGCCATATTAAGTAAAACAAAATAACTAAACGCGGGAAAGATAACATAAGCAAAAACCTGCGCAAAATGTCAAATACCATACTTTTTTAAGTTGAAAAAATGTAAATAATTGAAGATATTAAAAAAATATGCATATTCCCGTTGTTATCTTATGTATTACAGAAGCTCACAAGCAAAGCATAACTAAAAGAACGACGTCAAACGTCAATTCCACCGAGTAGTTTTATTATTGTTTTTGACGCGCAATTTCAATACTCTGTGGTGTTTTTAAATGGCGCCATTTGTTTATTAAATTTTTATGACCTTTTATTAGGTGAAGTGTACACTTGTGTGAAAATTTAAAATACTATCCAATTTTTTTAAAATATAAATGCAGGTGTGTGCAGAATGGAGCGGGGTATTCCCAGAGATGGCGCTGATAGAAGTCTCACTCCCAGGAGGCTTTGGCGCCGAGACGAAACTTCTTTATCAACAACAACTTCGTACCAATACATGTAAGTAATTAGTATTGCCTTATATTTTCTTTTACTGCATTATACAGGGTTGCTTGAAAGAGATCGCTATACAGCGATAGGACCGCACGTTGGGTCTAAGACATGTCGGTTTCCTTCATCGTTCGAAAAAATGTTAAATTCTCACATAGAAAGAAAATCCATTGGTGCACAGCCGGAGGTCGAACCTACGACCTCAGGTATGAGAGTCGCACGCTGAAGCCACTAGGCCAACAGTGCTCATAATAATTCAAACACTTATGTATTTGTAAAGTCAGGGAATTTAAAGTAAACTAAAAAAAACAACTACTGTTACTACATTAGGTTAAATGAAGTCCATGTCACTATGTTTTACACTAGTACTCGACCTCCGACGAAGTGAAGGCCTTCTCCAAATTCTTCCACTTGTCTCTCTTCTCACCACAATTTCCAATCCCGCCCCGCTACCCCTTTCATTCCATCTTCCCAGGATTCCGGTTTTCAAAATTCGTATTATCAATATACATGCACGAGATTTTCCGTATATGTTAAAAAACATAAATATATTTTGGTGATAACAATAATATTAAGTACCTTCCCACTGGGCCATTCCAAGTAAAAAAGCACGCAAGCAAGTACTTTATATTATTGTATTCACGAAAATATATATATATATTTTTTTACATTTACGGAAAATCTGTGCATATTGATAATGCGAACATTTATTAGCAACAAAGTGGTAAAACTAGCGATTCTCAGCTGAAGTCCGGTTGAACACCAAAAATATTTTGCTGTGTTCACTAACTGGTACAGTGGCGAAAAACATTCGTATGGAAATCAGCAAGTTTTAGACCCAAACTTTATGTGTGTTAAGCACTTGGACTTCCTGGAAAACAGACTTACATTACGAAACCTTTGCCCCATTAGTGTCCCTAAGGTCAAACTATGCATTACATATTTATAAGATATAACGTAATTTTAAGCTAATCCGCATTTATGTACAGAATATGTCAAAAACGTTGATGTTTCATTTCATGATACTTTGTTTAGTATGCTTTAAAATTGTTAACAATAACAAATATTGAAAATTCCAAAACGATACTCATATATCTTCAATTTATTGTTACGTATGAACTTCTTTATTTACCTTGTTGCAATAACTAGAAATTCGTGAGCTAACCTTTAAGTTAAAATAGTATTAATTTTTAAAGAGACCAACTTTTATGACGTAACGGACGAATTTTTAGGTTAGATTATAGTTTGCAATTTGTTTTTACTATAATATACAAACAGGGCATGCCAGGTGACATTCACAGTACACCATGTTATTTTTAATATTTCTCCAAAAATGGGGTTTGAACAATTACATAAATAATATAAATAAACAACAAAAATACCATAATAATGTGTAATTATTTTATTTCATGCATTTCATAGGTATTTATCAAGATCATTTATAATTTCTTCGAATCAAATTCTATTTTTGCGAAAATCTATGGAACCTCCGATACAAAAGGCAACCCGTTCATTAAAATCCGACAAAAATAAAAACCTCCGTAAAAGATATGATGGAAATGCATTTGGGCCTTACCTTAAGCTTACAGTCAAGGCTTTTGGGGTAAGTGTCTATTTATGGACTTGAGATTAACTAAGCAACACTAGGGAGACGATCCGTAGTTTGTTCTTTAAATACCGACTGTGTCGCCGAAGTAGTCAGAAAGTTAAGTGCGCATCAAATAGATCTCAATATTAGACCAAAATTTATGTGAGTTAGAGATAAACATTCCTGAAAATACAGAAAATTCAGTCAACCCCTTGCCCATTTGTCCCCAAAACGCATGACATCTTAATAAGATATAAATAATTTTAAAATCCGCATAAATTGGTACATGAAATTAAAAAGGTAAAATATCTCCTGTGACAGGAATGCACCATTGTACGCACATAAGGCACATTACAATATTCTCAATATTACATTTTACTAAATTCGACGTGCTTCTATCTAAAGGGTGAACGCTACCTATGTACCTAAAATTTTAGCGAGAAACTATACGGGTAGTGACCAACCTACGATTTTAAGCGTAGATTAACTATGAGATTGTTCTTAAAAACGAACATTGCGTTTACAGTAGCGATATTATATCTAATACATATATAAAATTCTCGTGTCATGCTCGTTCCTCCGAAACAGTTCGACCGATTCTTATGAATTTTTTTTGGCATATTCAGTAAGTCTGAGAATCGACTACTATCTATCATACATACCCCTAAGTGATAAGGGGTGTCCACATTATCATCATACAAAAATATATACAACCCCTAATTTTTATTATTGTAGATAGTTATTTTTATTAAACTAAAAAAATGTTTCCTAGAAATAATATACATGGCAAAAAAAACGTTTGCCGGGTCAGCTAGTTATGTGTTATTAGGTTTTTATAGTTGGTGAAATTATTTATATAAAGTCTACATATTATATTAAACGTCTTTTAAAATAACATTAAAGTCCAATAAGCGTAGAGTTTCGTTAGTCATATTCTGTACTAAAACCAATTTACCTTCTAAACAAGGGCATAGGAATTTTGAGTTATAAGAATTAATTAGACCAGTGCATAACCGCAACTTTCGTTTCTTATTTATTTCGTACTTCTACAGCTAATTAAAATTATATAAAACAAAAGCAATTATACTAAAGCTAGAGCCAAAGATGGAATAAATAATACTTATATACAAAAAGGTTCAGACATTTACATTTGAAAGGAAAAAATCTATAATAATTATTAAATACATTTAACTAAGTAAAACCTAATTCAGTTGTGTTGTGTGATGGCGTGTATGTGAGGGTGTGTTTATGATGCAGGTTATTTAGCGCTGGATATTATCTTAAATTGTATTAATATTTATTTAATAAAATAAATCCCTGGCGCTACAAATATAGTTGTATCTATTTTATTTTTGTCAATGTATTTGGCAAATTATCAGCCTCCTGCGCCTGACACTTGCATGGATCTAAGGCAAGCCGGTTTCATCACGATGTTTTCCTTCACCGTTCGAGCGAATGTTAAATGCACACGTCCATTGGTGCACGGGGATCGACCTTAGGGATGAGAGCTGAAGCCACTAGGCCAACACTGCTCGCTCTGCACATTTAACGCGACCAATCTAAATGTCAATTGCCTGTTTGGAGTTTAGGATACCGCATTACTCCTTAACAAAACATAAGGACGAAATAGTTACATCGCCATACTGAGGCTCATGTGATCAGTCAATGAACATAACAAAGCATCAGCAGTTAATCATTTTTCTAACTCAAAAACTTAAAGTATCGTCTACGTCTCTTTTATCATTCACAATTTTATATAAAAATATAATATGAAATATTTTTAATTAGCGTTTTACTCTGCGTTGTGTTCGCAGCCGTGACCGATTGACCCGGTTGGGTTTTATATACGTCACAACTAGACTTGCGTCGAGTGGACGAGATTGCTTCTGCAAGTCTTTGTTTGTATTTTTAGGATTTCGGGGTTTTCTGTAGTTTTTTGAGTTTAGAGAAAGGACGGAAGACGCGTTGAAAGAAAGCTAGTTTGATAGAAGTATTACGATTGACATTAAAAACATTAACTGACATCAACAATGATAAATCTCTTTTTTTTTTTTCAAGTTAGTGAATAATCAAAGTCACCTTATGATATTCAGAAACAAAACTTAATGCTAAGTCAGACTACGAACGTCAAAAATGTATATTGACATTCGGGAGTCAAAGATCGCGCTAAGTCAATCTCACCCACAGATTACCACTTTTTTTTATTGAGGAGAAAATGTGCTTACGCCAGGGATGTCGAGCTTGATGCGGGGACTATGGGGCTGGGTCTACACTCAAAGCCCTTTGCTATTCAGAGGGGTTGTGAGACCCTACCCACTAAAAACATCTCAGCCCTCCCTTAAAATGGGCACTCGGCACCCACAGATTACGAGTATGTTAGCCCAGTATAAGCTTTATTCAACCTATCTTTGTAACATTAAACCAAAAGCTGGAATAACTTTTTGTTACAATTTTTACAACGTTGTTATTGTAACCTCTCTTGATAACAAATTAGGTTAATTGATAGCTTTAGTTCGAGTGGAGTGTCATCGGAAACGGCTCTTGTAAATCTTGATAAGAAATATAACACATATATACTGAATGAAACACTAATACACCAGTACATATTCAGAAATTTAGCTTGTAATATTGTATGTTCTTCTACTCGTGCCATCTCCTCTCGAAGGTTGGCGATCATCACGATGAAACAATGAACAACATCTGGTGCTTTGACAAAACCAATGTCTAAGATTCTTCAACCAAGACGTGTGTCTGCGGCTAGGTCTCTTTTTACCTGCCACATTGCCTTGATTAGGAGCTTGTGTTTTTTGATGTTACGTAAAACGTGTCCGAAATACTCAAGTTTTCTTTTCTTACATCATAACTTCTTTGTTCTTCTGCATTCTGTCCAGAACGACTGTCCAGACTTAATATTGTATATAGAATGCCATTCTCATCCGATAATGATATGTATATATGTATATAATGTAACCAATTCGAAATTCTATACATACTTCAACCAAAATAATTTTAATATTTCCAATTTTGCCTTAAGTATTTTTTTGCCTTATATCAAATAATTATTATTAAGCTAAGGTTTACCATAGTCATAGCCAAAAAAGCGTAATTAGAAATTGTATTTATTACATCAAAAAATGTTCTATAAAATTGAGTTTGTAATTCGATGTGTCCACACATAATTTCACTTTCAGCATACACATATATTTTATTGTTAATTTAAATTGAATTTTTTGAAGTTATACTTCTTTAGGGGCGTTATGAAAAATTAATGAGAGTGAAATTTTACGATGCGCGCGCACCGTGACACAAAATTAACAGAATGACGTTGCCCACGGAAGATGCTACGGCATTGGACATAATTTAAAAACAACATTCGGATAATAATAGAATTTATGTTACACTTAATGTAAGAGAATAATAATAAATATTTATTTATTTAATTTTTCAAATATAAACTGAACTTTATTGACTATAATGACTCCATTTCCAGTCTTTGATTATTTAATTGTAATTAATTATTTGCATGCAATCAAAAACTATTTTTAATAATACCAAAGAAGTATAACTTCTTACGCGAGTACATAAGTACACGCACCCATTTTTTATATTATTATTAAGTTTTTATTGCTAATAATGACGCTATTTTTACTGACAACTTAACGTAATTTTGCGAAAACAACATATCTATTTCGAGTGCAGGATGATGCACAGACCGACATGACGTAATCCACATTTGATGTCACATTAACCTGAATAGCTGAGCTTCGCGGTTTCTATTTCAGCTTAAGCTTTCATATCATTAACTCTAGAGACTAGATCCTTGAGTAAAGATAGCATTAATGTTAAATGCATTATATCTTTAAGCTCACATGAGATGAGCGCATTTTCTTGCTACGTTCATTTTTTTCTTCCCATTTGATTATTTTAATTTAATTTTATAACATCCAACGGTATTCTGTGGACATGTTTTAATAAAAGTCATAGAAAAATTTCAACTATTATATACTTAATAATTTGCGTATGAATTATTTATTATCTAATAGATTTCATAATCAAATTTTTAAAATGCATTTTAAAGTGGATTGAAATACACCTTATCAGATAGGAGAACTGTATTTATATCTAAGCTATTTACACATAAATCATGGGCAAATCACCGATGATCCGAACCATCAAATACTTGTCTTCGACACAGGATTTACGTTTGTTACCTTTGTGAGTTAATGGAGGGTGGCAGACCGGTTTCATTGCAGGTTTCCCACAATCCACGACTTGTGTAGTGAGATTATTAAAGCCCTTGACAAGAAGTAACGCATCCATCAATTGTTAAGCTTTTAATTTAATTTTACGCTAGTTTAATTTTGCTGGAACCAATTCAAAGTTATTTATTGATACATCAGACAAGGGCGGTGGAAGCGCGCGTGGATAAGATATTGCGAGATGGTAGCGCGGCGAGATGGCGCGGACGAGCCCACCGTAGACGATAATTACCGTTTATATTGATCTTTACCGCGCGGTTCTATTCCGCCGGTACCGCGCGGTCATCTGAACTTCTTGTTGATAACAGACAAGGGCGGTGGCTGATTATTATGGACCGAGTCGATTGCCCATACCTGAATCACTGTTTCTATTTCATGCGAGAATGATTGCCGGTATGAATTATTAAACATACAACTTAGTCCAGGTATTAAGCTGTAATTTACTAACATTGTTATGGAACCTTGTTTTCTGAATTAAACAATTAAATTAAAAAAAAAATTAAATTATTAGATGGTACGAGATCTAGACGAGACCTAAGAAAAAATAATATTATTAGGTTTTGACACGTGATCATTTTTTGTTTTGATTGATTTCGGTGACAATATCTTTATACGCGATCAATAACGAAGTTATATTGCAGCGACAAAGATTGACTGTATTTTACATAAATGGCCATATTGAAAATATATCGACTTCTAACATCTATATATAAATTAATTGCTGTTCGTTTGTCTCGCTAAAACTCGAGAATGGCTCGACCGATTTGGCTAATTTAAAAATATCTCTGGAAATTCAGGGTAGCGGTATAATATATATAAAAATAGACTGTTACTCTCTAGGTATATCATTAATTTGTTATTAAAGACCTAAACCGATTTTAATGATTTGTATTTATGAGTTCCATTTAGATGGTTTTTATTTTAGATGTTAAAAAATTTATCTTTTGTTATAGTACTCCGGCGTATAGAAGTATCGGCGAACAATGGACGTGTAACTTTATACCTGGGCTCACGAAATGAAGATACCTCAAGAGGTGGGCACCAGTGCTACAAGATACACGCAGTGGGGCCCAAAGCAAAGACCAAATCTGCCTACGCCAAGATACTTGATTATTATCGCCCCGAAAACAATGATATACAAGTAAGTCTCTAAAATCCGAAATTGCAAGTATTTGGTTGACGCAATGGCTATGAACCTAATAAAACATTTATATAATTTCCTTACATCAGCTGTAGGTACCATAATTTTTATAAATCATGAGGCGCTTACGTAAAAAAATATTTCTATGCAGTGCTAGTCCTAGTTTACTTACTTACATTCACAGACACTTCGAATATTTACCGTTTTATTTGCAAAGTACAACAAGAAAAAAAAGCAAAATCTATTGATAAAAAAGTGAAAAGTCTTCATGCTGCGATGGGTCCTCGCAGAGCAGTGACATTAATTCGCAAATTGAATAATCTTTATTAACAAAATACTGGCTATACTTTAATAATACTTTAAATTTCGTATCTAATTAAAATCACATTTATTCCTTATTTTAGATGTATACAATCCCTGAAGAATGCCGGTCCAGGATTAGTGACGATACCAAAGATATGTTATTATCGGAGAATATATTTAACAAAGCACGATCTATAAATGGAGAAATCTTAATAAACTACGACTTTTCCTTCGAAGATATTCCAGAATTCTTCCCACTAGAAGATCCCCTTTACGATAATTTAACTCAAAGAAACAAAGACGAAAACAGTAACATAACAATCGACAGTGAAAATGAAATATTGGGAGCTGATGATTTAAAATACCAGAAAAAGTACACGGAAGAAACACATAATAAGATCAATGAAGGAACTTTAACCAACAATGATAGCATAAATGTTCCAACTAATATGAAAATAGATACAAATAAGGGAAGAAATATTGAAAGCAAACGGGACTTATTCGACTATAATAGTCCCGAAACGGAACCGCACAACATCGAGCGATTTTACTGATACTGATAATAATGAAAATAAAGGCATAGCAGAAGGAATTAATGTTATGTATAACGATGGTATTGCTTCAAATGAATCTGACAAACACAATATACAAGATTCAGAAATAAAACAAGACAATTCAAATATAAAACAAAATTTTGAAGCGATAAAATCAGAACAAGAAACAACTTCAGGTTCTGAATTCAATGAAGACAGCAACAAAGAAACTGATCCGTTTTCAAATTTCCACGTAATCGATTCGGAGAAAGATTTGGATGTTCCTACTGGAATTGAAGGACCAGTGCCCTCAATAGTACTACCGCCAGATAACTTTTTTGCAAATTCTGGTAAGTACTTGTTTGTATATATAAATATAATTGCCGCAAATGATATTTTGTAATCGTCTTTAGATTGGATCCAATAGAGACAATATTCTTGAGTCTTAGTAGTAATATCGGATTACTATAAATAGCCAATGAAATACCTGTGGCCGGAGAAAAAAGCTAACAAGTGTCCGTATGACAGGAAATTCAAACTCCTTAATATGCCGTTCTTCCCCGACGTAACGGATAACTTGGACAATAATTGTTATCCATAGTTATTCAAAATAAATATTATGAACTCTATTATATGGGCAGGTATACGATTTTGATATTTAGTACTGATACACAGTATTTTAGCTTATATTAAGCGAACTATCACATATAATATTTTAAAGGAAGTGGCTGCCGACGAATAAATTAGAAACACTCGTTTCACTAAGACTTTTTTTCAGGCCCATATCAGCAGGTTGAACAAAGACGTAAGCTATACTCAACGCCAACGTATTTTATTCACCCGTATTATAATCATCAATATTATAGAAATATAAGGACGATATAATTTAAGTTAATGAAGACTGATTTCCTTATTTTGTAACATAATTAAGGTAAACTAATTATAAATTAAAACTATTTATTGTATGTAGGCACAAGACAGCAAGGGTTGGCTGTGAATAAAAAAGTATTTTTAATAATGTTATTATTTACGATAATCCCTACACTTTCTTATGTAAGATTGGAGTACTTCATAAAGATAAGGTTTCTGAATTTTCATTATCTTAATCCCTTAGTAATCGATATTTAAAAATGTGACTAATTCAAATATGGACAAGTTATTGATCGTTCTTTGTTCATTAATATTTATCAACAAAGTCAATTAAACATTTAATTAAAGAAGTTGGATGTAATTTTAAACTAAACCACAAAAGAAAATCCTTTAGAGACATTTTGCTGAATGTAAGAAGTCGATATTTTTATTTATTCTAATTAACAAAACTACCAGAAAGATTTTCATGGTTTACGCTAAGTTGGAGACATGAGCTAATGGTACAATGAATTCCGTCTGTCAAAAACATTTTTCTTATTTTATTTTGACTCCGAATAATTGTCTACATAAAGTTTTTATCTTAATCAATTATTTAAATAATTGTTTTCACCTTATTTAAATATGGACGGCTCCATCAGATCGAATCCTTAAAAAGTTGAATACCTAACAGCCATCAATTACATATTATTAACGACAAGAACAAATTGATAAAGGTTGACGTCCGGTAAAGCGTGCAACATTCGAAGGGCGACTGTGACTCATCCGCATTGCCTTGAATCACGCAACATGCATCGGACATTACATGAACCAGCAGTAAAATGTTTAATAGATAGTTTAAAACTAATGAAAAAAATTAAGTTAAATTTTCATTTTGAAACAATATAAATAGAACATTGATTGTCAACTATTGTCATCATACTCATGTTTATTGCATTTAAGAAATAATACATTATTACTAAAGTTAGTAAGAAACTAGTAAAATTTATTTTAGGTTTTCCTTCCTGCCAATATGAGATGGTTTAATAGAAGTAATATCTTTTTGAATTGATCTAACTTTGCTAATAGTAAAGAAAACAATGTCTTAGCAACATTTTATATATACTTTTATTCAAATTAATTAAATCATACAATACAGAATACTTGAATTTTAATGTTTTTTTTTAAATTAAAATAATTATTAATTGGGAGTTATATTGTTACTTATAAAAAATGCTTTCAATCACTCTCAATGACATAATTTATGGACATAATTTTACCCAGTGTATTTGAGCAACCATTGTAGGCATAATTTTCAAAGACAATATATTGTGCTCTCTGCCCATAAACTTGCATTAAAGCTACATGGACAATTAAAATTAACTATAATTAAATGCACCATTAGAAACCTTTTCATGTTTAGCTGACAGCGCACATATCATATGCAAGCAATATCAAATAATACTCTCCTCTGATGGATGGATTTTGAAACTGATGTACTGAAGAAAAACTTATAATTTTTAATTGACTTTCATTTACCAAAGAAATTTCAGACATTGCTTACACAAACCATTTGTAGACAAAAACAACTGAATGAAGGCTGTGCTATGGTACTGCATAAACTCTAGGTTACTAATTACAATGTACAATCTTTCTATAATCTCTGCTATTGAAAACTCAAAACTGTGATGGACTCTATTGGGAACAGCACATGAAGCTGGCAATAATTAAATACTCATTATTCTTCCATACTGAGAGTAACAAAATGCAATAAAATTTAACAGTTTACAATAGCGATTCTCTATATCATAGATAAATATGCACCGGGGATGCGCCCCTCGGAGCCAGTAAACATTTGAACAAGATTTTCTCTTATATGAATATGTACAGAGGCATGGACCACGCTGCAACTCAGAGCGCAGCGGCGAGACATCATTGGCTCTTCAGCTCCTTACCAATTGTGTATGACACCAAGCGTGCCCAATCAATCTTACTGCGTGTTACTGGCAGCTGTCGTCGCAATGCCTTAAATGTTGTGTCGCTCATAGTCTTGTAATTATCCGATATTGCTGTCTGGTAGGCATTTTCCGCATCACAGACAAGTCTTACGAACTCTTTCGCAGTGGCTACTTCACCTGTCGCTACGAGAGGTGCACGGACCTCTTTTGAACTAACCAACTGTACATTACCATCCTCATAGTAATGTACTTGCACTCGTAGCATACCACGCAGTTCGGCTGCACCACTGCCCACCGTTAGCGACCAGACAGATCTCCACCGCCCGTTCCAATAGTTTTTAGGCTGGAACTGGTGGTCTTCGATACAAGCAACAAGCGAAACCGATCCAGACTCTAATGCTCGTCCCACGACTAAACTAGCGCCGTGTTTGTAGTGCTCAGCGACGTAATTGGTCAACTCTACATCTAGAGCGGCCCGCCAGGGCTCCGCCACCTTATCGGGTTCATATGGCTCGTATTCTGACGCATCCTTTCGTAGGTGATCGTATTTAAAGGACCGCTTTGAACGAGGGTCAAAGAATCGACCACCACCAAGCTCATTATGGTCTGTAATAAGCGTATGAAGTTCGGAGCCTTCAAGACGCACGGGTGTGAGTTGATCCTTGTTGTATTGCGAAAAAGCACCACTCGCACCCTCCTTGAGCAATGTGTCGTTATTCAATAATACTCTCACATCGTTGAACACTTCATTGAATTCACCCGGAGGAGAATGTAAAATAAAATCCGACACAATTCTAACTTTTTCCTGATCCGATATCACTTCGTCACCCTCCGCCGCCATTTTTGATTTTGGTACTTTTAAGTTTTTGACACTTTCAATTTAACTTCGACAAATTGCGACATTCATGGACATCATGACAATTGACAACAAGCATGTCGCTTAGAGACTGCAACATTTTATGACAGATAAAAACAACTAAGAAATTTGAAAATATATAATACAAAACCTAGTAATTCAAATCTGAAAAAACCTTTACTTAAACGTATTATGTGATAAAATAGTGAGAAAAAAAAATGCATACGAAAAATAGATTTCATTAAACTAACTTTCAATTAATGAATTTGTGAAAACCAAGATGTTTTCATGGAATATAAATTATTGCCAGTACATAATTATAGGGTTGCCAACGTCTTCACACACCACAGCGCCGACGTCAATAATTGAAACTTAGTTTAAGCTCTTGCTTTCCATTACTATTAAAGTAAAAATTAGCGAAGAAAAACTTCTGGGGCCAACAGAGGAAAAGATACTTTAATTTTACGATGGCCACTTTTTCAGGATGTCAGTTGTCAAATGTCAAACTACAAACGTAAAATGTAAATTCTTAATTTAATTTCCTATGTAGCCATTGATGAAGAAGTTGTGTAACTCTAAATAAAATAATTGTTAACACCTTAATTTTGATATGTCTTTGCTAACTTATAAATATTACGATACGCCGGAAGGTCAGGATATATTCAAAAAAACCTTCGTGACGACAAAATATGCAATCCTAGCAAGTTTACCTGTAGCTACTTTTGATGTGCTCCTCTATTCCCACCCCAAGGGAATCTTCCAGACTGTTATGCGGTATGGATTTTATCTTGGACCAGCGATTAGCATGGCAACAGCTTTTACTTTAACTACCAATATTGCTCAGAATGTAAGAGGTAGGTATCATAATATTCTATTAATTCCAACACTTGTTCAGTTGTTACTTGTTGTTTAATCTGTTCTCTTTATGAAACCATTTTATCATCTAGAAGATTCAAAGCCTTGAGACTGTTTAATACTGAATGCTATCAAAGGTAATGTTTATTAAGGACTGCATTAACTCTTCAGGTAAAAATGATGAGTTCAACTACTTCTTGGGTGGAGCAGCTGCTGGAGCAGTATTTGCTTCTCTGCGTAGACAGCCAGTTATTGCTGTACCTGCAGCTATTGTTCTAGGAGCCTGCGGTATAGTGAAGAAAATTGGTATAGACAATGACTTCACCTTCTTCCCTAAGCTGCATTCAGGGAAAGAATCTATAAACTCAGTAAGGAGAGATTGGACCTTTGTTAAAGATATAGATGAATTAAAGAATTGGGAAAAAGGTAATTAATCTTGTGTATTGTATAGAGTATTATTATAACTATAAGTAGTTGGTATTGACTTCTATTTCAGTTAGTCAGATATTAAGTTTGGAATGGGTTTCATACCTAGGTAAATAAAAACATTATTCCAGGTCATTCACAGGCAATAGATTACCGAGTAGGTATGCCTTTTGAGCAATTAACAATTTTGCTTTTATTTAAAATCTAATAAAAAATCCCAGAAAGTCACTTTACACGTTTTTTTACGATTTTAAGTATGTATACAGACTACTTCCATCATTCAAATTAAAGTTAAGTATCTGAAATAGACCTTAGAACATAAATTTTCTTAGGTGCTAGGTTTTTTCATTCAAAAGAGTAGTTTATCTTTATCTCTCATAAGCTAGCTCTCCAATAACAGAAACTAACTTTCTTTTTCAGGCTCCAATTAAATACCACAATGTTATGCAGGAAGTAGTGTACAGTAAAATATTATTTAAGTTATAATAAATGATCATATTTAGCTCTTCTTTATTGTATGATTACTTCAGTTGTTGCAAAATAAAAGAAATTTTTTGTTTTCACTTTATTATTACATCTAGTAAAAACAATATAACTCCATAAGCAAACTACAACATAAAACCTAGTAAAATTAACTTAATATTAGTCAAAAACTGTGCAAATAATAAAAATTCTTACAATAAAATATTTGAAAAGGAATGTTAGAGTGTATAAAAGTCCTCCCTTTTCATTCAACAGATGGCGAGCTTAATATTTTTAACTGGAAACAATTATAAATTCTGAAAAGCATAAACTATATAAAAAGCAATGAGCATAGACAATGAAAACAGCTTAAATGCAATTATTTTAACATGTCAATGTAGGATATTTTGAAACCTTAACAACGTATTTATCACTACAATTATATTTGAATACATTAAGAACATCAAATTTAAAAACAAATCTTGGGGACGGATGGGTTTATAATTCAGTATGTGAAGCAAAGACAAAATTTATAGAAAATGACATTCAATACTCTTAGTTCTAAATATACATTAAAAAATTTGGCAAACAGACACACAATATGTCACTGTAATTAAATTATCGTATTAATTTAAGTTCAACAAGCATCAATATAACATGTAAAATTTTAAGCTATGAAAAATTTGGCACATAATGAAATACCAATTGTTCAAAAGTTCAGGATAAATGTCTTTAGCTAATTAAAACACACTATTATTGCTAAATAATGTGCTAAGGACTCCAAAAAGTATCTATTTCAAATAATATATTCAAGTATACGAATTTGTCTTGTATATGAGCAAAAGATGTGCTAAAAAAGTAACAAGGTCACAAAGTACAGTTAAGTCACAGCTAATAATATGCAAACCATTTTTAAATTTCATTTCAGAGGCAAGTTACGCCCGAAACCAATAACCTATCGCAATCCATAATCCTCCATCTGAGATAGTAATATTAATCCAAATGTTGTAACAAGTGTGCCAATAACCAATCGACGGATTGTAATAGCCATCTGTCGATATAAGCTATCCATGGGAGGTCGTATCGGTGTCTGTGGATAGACTTTTGTATGAAAATGACAGTTGACGAAAGCTCAATTTCAACAGTTAATTATTTTAACAGATTTTAACTTACACCAGTTTTTAAATAATTAAAAAACTTGTTATGTTTTAAACATACACATGTATATTTTAATGTTATTTGTACGGTTTTATTTACTTTATTTGGTTTACATTGATTATCAAATATGAATGAAAACTCGGTAAAATGGAACGACAAAGACCATTTTATCCGTCGCCTAAAATGATTGTCTTCGTAGGGTTTGGTTATTGAGATGCAGATAGGAGATCGATCAACTGCCACGGTTTCAGATTGAAAACAATCTGAGATTGTGTATTGATTATTGGGTTCGGGCGTTAGTCGCTTAAGTGCTTTGCAAACTGAAACTCTTTTAAGGAAAGTAAAATTGTCTGCATTATTAGAAACAAATTAATTACTTTAGTAATATTTTAAGTAAAAAAACATGACACTCTCAAAGTACATAAGCGACATTTTTCTTCGGCATTGAGTTATCACTTTTCAGTCACTGAGTCCTCAGCAGGGCTAATATCTTCTCACTTTTCCTTTGTCTTTTCATTCACTTCTTCATCACTCAATTCCTCTTCAATCTCTTCTACCTCTAACTCTTCTTCCAGCTCCTCATCTGAAAGTTCTTCTTTCTGAAATTTCAAACATTTAATTGTATTTCACAAATCATTTAAATTGAGACTTCATAGTGACATTATTAATCAAGTTTTTGGAGATGAGATATTTACAAATATCATAAATTTATTGAAGTTAGCCCATGTTTCACATTGTCAGAAGGCTCACAAGCGCGTTGCCAGCCTTTTAAGATTCGACACGCTGTTTTCTTGAAGGGCCCTAATTCTAGTAGTAAGTAGTAGTTTTGAGTGGTTAAATAAATATTAAGTATAATGATCTAATAATTATTATATTAATTATTGCATTGCATCATGATTGGTCAATAACAGTCAGTTTTGGATTGAGTCCAATTATACAGACCTCTGCCAGGGGTTGTGTCATGGCGCTTGCTGTTGTGAATTCATCCAATGTCGATTCTGAAAATTTAAGAGACGAAAAACGACATTAGTGCGAGTGATTAAACGTACTACTCAACCTTGAGGTTGATCGTTCCAACGCGTATTTAATACCTCCTTCTTCTGTTAATGTGACGAATTTGCAAGACTGTGGATCTAAAGAAAAATGTGCAAAACAGATACAGTTATGAGGGTAACATCAATAAAAATTGAATTGTACGATCCAACTTTAACAACTACGTTCAAGATTATAACTATTATTTCTTATATAATCGGAGTTGACAAATTTTAAAACAGATGGAAACGAAAGTCTAAAACCGCGCAGATATTAAAAAACAACACTTACCGGGATCTCGCTCAGGTGTGTCTCGCGGTGCGTCTTGTATCAGTGATAAAGTCATCTTACCACTTACCACCAACTGTAAAAACAACTATTTACCTAAATATCTAATGGTAATAATTACTGTGAGCGTGATCTTATATAGCCTTACTCCTTCGATAAATAGCCCTTTCTAATAATATAAAAATATTCGACATATAATTTATTTATAGATAAACTAGCTGACCCGGCAAACATTGTTTTGCTTTGTATATTATTTCTACGAAACATTTTTTTAGTTAGTAAATAATAAAAATAACTATCTACTATAATAAAAAATAGGGGTTGATCGTAGAGGGGTAAAAATTAGGGGTTTTATGTATATTTGTATGCTGTATCAAAAAAATAAAAACAAATTTTTTGTGGTGGACACCCCTTATCACTTAGGGGTTTGAAAGATAGTAGCCGGTTCTCAGACATACTGAATATGCATAAAAAATTTCATAAGAATCAGTCGACATGTTTCGGAGGAGTATGGGAACGAACATTGTGACAACGAGAACTTTATATATCAGATAAGCCTGCACATACCGGTGCGTTCTTCGTGGGTTTCTGTGTGTGCGCACGATCCTCAAAGTCAGTTATGAGCACTCGGGACTGCTGCGGGATCTCCGTCTCCAAGAATATGGATTTTACTTCTTCAGCTTGGTGTTCTTGCTGTAAATTATTTTTTTATTAAATAGGGGGCGAACATGCCTGCGGGTCGGCCATAAAAAGGCAACTAAGACAGCCCATAGACACCAAATTTATTAGTAATGCATCCATCATGGTATGTGAGGGAGTACGCTATTTTTTTTAATACCTGAAGGTCTTATTTCCATGGAAATACCTCCACAGTTTCCTGCGTTCTTTGGGCATCGGGAAATGTGTTAAGCGATTTCTGGAAGATTTCCAGCCATCAAAGTGGTGGGGGATGAAAAAAATTAATACAAACAATTTTGTTAAATAGTTTTCTGTCTAAATGTGGAATTCTCTCAGTAACCATGATTGGTAAAGAGCCCTAGAAATCTCGAGTTTAATGCAATAAAGTTGCGTTTATATCATATAAAAGTGTTTAATAGAAAATAAATTACGAGTTGAAACGAAAGTTCGTATTCATATACGTCTCATTAGCATAAGGAAAATTCTAATTGATACTGCTATGTTATAGTGTTTTTCTTAACGGATCTTTAATTTTATCTGCCATAACAATCAATTATTTTAAAATCAGTAAATATCGAACTTACCTTTGTTACTTTTGTGTCATGTATTGATGAGTAGGGAAATTTAATTAACACTCAACTAGCAAACAAACACTTCTAGTGATTACAATACATAACGTGGAAAATTAGTAGGAAAAACATGTTAATACTAAATGATACTACTGAGTACTAAAGAAAATTTAATGGTGAAAAAGTAGAGACATTGAGCTTTTAAAAAACTTTGTATCAGGACTAGTTGTACAATTGGACTATGTAGGAACTGTTCAGTTTAAACCGATTGCAAAAAAGATATTATATTTGTATCGTATTTGAGTATCTATGCTTTACCTATTCCTAAAATTCGTAAGTGTATTTAAAAAATCATTCAAAAGCTAAAAGTAATATCAAGATGATGTTTTAATTCAAGTATCTTTAACTTAGTAAACAGTTCCAGTTTCATTAAAATTGGTTTAGTATTTTTCTAGATGTGTGATGATATAGTGACCTAGCTAAATAATAATGACATGTATTTTCTAATACATGTTACTACATGTCGGTTTAATTTTTTGTATACCAATTTGAATAACTGTAACAATAAAGTCCAATCGTAAAGCTTCTTAATAGAGTAGAAAATGTGATTTTTCCAAATTAATCGTATAATGTTTGTACGATATGGACAGTATACTGAGGTCTCACCGGAGGTTTCGGGGGTGCGATGGGTCTTTCCCCCGCCCATGTGCTGCCATCTACCGCATGAGCTGTTACCTCCATACCTAATACCTATAACATTATATAATAAATCTAACCTTTGTCATTGGATAAATGGATCTGAGGAAACAAAGAGCATTTTCATACTGCTTTTCTTACTATTTATTTATCTTTAAGGTACTTACTTTGACAGCCGAACCTTCGTTATCTTCCATCCCATTCTTTGGTGAATCTTCCTTTAGCGCTTCAGCTAAAAGTTCTGGCGTAGATGGTCCATCTTTAGTAGCAATCTCCCTTTCCTCTTTGAGAAAATCTTCCGTTGATTTTACTGTATTGGACTCCTTTAAATACTCTAGAACTATATCATTTTTACCACTTTCGTTCACCACCATGTCATTTTCTTTAGACAGTTTTTCTTCAATAGCTATCGGAATGGCATCTGAAAGAGATTTAATTGACTCTGGGGTGAGTTCTTTAGTATCTAAGATGATTAACTCTTCGTCAGATGACTCTTTGGATGATTGTGTAAATTTAGGATCAATGGAGTCAATTTTGGTCAGGGATTCATGATCAGGTGTGATACATGCTTCGGGTTCTGGTGATATAGAGACCTCCCTTTCTTCCTGGTTTAGAAGTTCAGGAATGGCATCTTCCTCTGAGGAAGATTCGTAGAGTTCTTTTAATTCTTTTTCTAAGGATGAATCTTTTATAAAGAATTCATTTTCTTCCGTATGTTCTTTTTCATCCATTAACTCGTTTGGCTGCTTTGGATAGAGCGGTTTTGCATTGGAAGACTCTTTATCTTCAAAAGATAATTGTTTTGGTAATGATTCACTTTCTACAATGTTGGAAGATTTGGGATATGATTCTGTTTGGTCAAGATAGGTGTCTAAAGACTTTATAGATGAGTCCTCCAACTTCAACGACTCATCGATACCATCCAGTGTTTCTGGGGGACCTTGTTCAGATTCTACAGATGAATCTTTTTGTTCCTTAAGAGATTCCTCTAATTTAGTTGAAATATCGTTATGTTCTGGGGACGACTCTTTAAGATCTTCGAAAGTATTTTTAAGCTCTGAAGATTGGTCGACGGACGTCTCAGGTTCAGGGTGAGTTTCTGTTTGATATAAGGATAGGTCTTGTTGGATAGGGATTGTCTCTTTTAGTTCCGATGAGTTATTTTTATTTTCTTTTGAATATTCATTTTCTTTTTGAATTGCAGATTCATTAGATTCAGGCGATAATTCTTTTCGTTCTGTAGAAGTTTCGAATTCATTAATGATTTCCTCTGAGGGTTGAGTTACGGTAGGATTATGTTCTGTGTCTGTTTCGGACTGTTCTTTCTGATTAACATTTTCTTTTATTTTAACAGTTTCTTCTTGTATGGTTGTAAGGTTTTTATTGGATGTGTGTTCTTGTGTATTATGAACGGGGTGCGACTCAGGGGATGATTCCTTACATTCTGATAAATTTTGCTTGTACTGCGCCGAATCTGTTTGTTTCTTTGGCTCTTGATATTCGCTGGTCACAATTTGAACTGGACCTGTATTTAATAGAATTGTTCCATTTGTGTATGGGCGTGTTTGGCTATCCTGGGATTCCTGGAATTTTCACAATACATTATTAATCTTGTGTAAAGTTTTTGAAGAGAGTTTATTTTTATTAGAAAGAATTAAAATTCAGATATTGAACACATATTGAGCATCTACTTAGTTCAACAACTACAAGTATTCAAACAAAGTCTAAATCTAGATAAAGAAATCAAAAACATAAGTGTCTTGGACACATATCACGCTAACTAAATCTTAACTACTTAACTCTACGACAAGGCAGAACAAGCAAGTACTGATTACTAAGTAGCGAACACCTTGACAAATCTTTTTTATTGTTATTTTTATTTGAAAGAGTTAAGGTTCAATCGGGCGAGGTAGCATCGTAAACAGACAGATGGTAGACGATTAAGACCACAGAAAAGAATTTAAAAAAAATGGAGTGATAAAAAAAATATTCGACGCAAGATGAAGAAATTAGGTATACCTCAGGGTAACTCTCTCGGACACAAACATTAACTTATTCATATATTTGTTAAGAATAAAAACATAAATGACTGCAAAAAGCATAAAATGGCTGATGAAAGGGGTAAACATAAAAAAGGAGATGCGTCAACACATATCCACGTCATGCAAGACCTGTCTTTGCTGGCTCGCTTCCATCTGCTGTTGCACCTCCGCTACCAGGCCAGATATGGCCGTGACAACTGTGACCAATAATTCGGACATGAGCATTCAAAAATAAAACTTCTACCGCACGTTGCGTCTAGGTTATATGCATACAGATTTTCAAAAAGATTTAATTAAATAAGCAATAAATTAAATTCATAAAAATCTTGTATAAACAAGTAGTTAATGAATATAAAGAATGGTTTAAGTACATTACTACTTTATTTATATATAAAGGTAGCCATTATCTTATTAATCAATTATTTATTTATGTTTTCAATAATGAAGGCAGAAACGTAATTTATATTATGAAGGACATGTCTAAAATTGTTTCGTTGATTTAGCACGCTTGCATCCTGGAATGCGGCCAAACCTCGCTTTACGATATAATATTACCATTATTTGCGCATCATAAATCATACTTTCAATTAAAAAGTGAATTCTGTAAAAAACTATTATTAATATTACGTCTTAAAATAATGGTTACTGTTAATAATGGGAGTTACGAAACCTTATTCGTTTTCGGGGTACATATGCATTCCGACCATGTGCCTAAAAACCGCCATAACACATCGTTGACTGTTTTAGATAGGAGGTAGAAGGGAAATAATTAAATGAATACTGAATTGGCATACATTAAAATTAGTTTCTATTAAATCCTGACTGATGTTTTGTCTATCGAAAATCTTTAGGCTTCTACCAAAGAAAATAACACTTATTAATTATATATCAGAGACACACTCTTAAATTAAATAAGTATTGACTAATTTTTAATTCACATTCACAGTCAAAATCTTTTATAACAATATCGAAGGGTCTACTCATATTTGGTCATAAAAACCGATAGTCGTTACAGCCGATGACGTTGTCATTAAGTACCTAATACAATAAAATTCAGCCGGGACCTTTGATTTTGGTCAATATAACCGGTATGTTCTAAACGATGTCGTCGTAAACGGTTTTGACGTTATATGTTAATTATTTCCCTCCTCACCCCTTTCAACAAGCATTCAGAACCGTCACCATGCCTCAAGCATCTAAACGCCTAACCAACGAAAAATCACGCAACTCATTTCTAATATTGGACTTGGATCAATCATTCATACATTGGCAATAACTACAATTTCAAGTGTTAAATATAGACAAAATATAGGTTAACAAAATAGAATCAACAGAGGATCCAAGCCTTAGCCCGTAGCACGCAAAATATTGGAATCAATGAATTTTTTGATTACGTTGACGAAATTTCAACAGTATTTAAAGCCTAGATAATTTTCAAAGATAAAATACAGATTATATTTAAAATTCAAAGACTTATCTGTCTAAACAAATGCTACTTACAAAAATTATAAATTTGTATTGTGGATTACTTTAATTTAGCTTATAACTTCGAATCTTTTGGCGTCAATTATTACTTTAGACAGTATAGTAGTGTAGCAAAAGTATGGAATCAAAAGCTGAATAACCATTATTCAAATCTCATTCATATACGAAATCGTTTATATTTCGTAACACCAAACGAGCTACTTTCGTATGCGTTAAATATAGAAATCGCCTAAATATTTACATCACAAACTGAATGAACTGATGGGAATTGATATTTGAATGAACTTCTAAATGTGAGGTAAAATATTCAATAACAATTTCTTAATTGTAACATGCTCGAAATCATCGACTCCAATATAAACATGCTAAGGGCGTACACACGAGAAAAGCGCATCGCTTTCCACCTAAGGCAGGTTTAGTACCGCATCGCGCTGTGCAAGCTGACCCATGATGCGTTGCATTGCGCGTTCTGTCTCCTCTAAACGCGCGCGCAGTGCCGCTATCTCGATATCTCCTGAATGCCAAACTCCTTTCAATAACCTTGTATGGGGAAAGCAGGGATTTCTATCTACAACTAACATTCTAGGGGCTAAGTTTAAAGTAACTTCTGTAAGGTCAATGTAGTGCCATTGGGATGTGTTAGGTATCCGGTATCTATAGACGCTAAAGTTAACCATTTTCAAGTGAATGAAGAGCCACAATATTTGAAAAAGTTTGTATATTTTTGAAGTGAAACTTCTAATGCGACTTCTAACAAGGTTGCGTTAAACGTTAAACGCTACCATGGAGGGGAAATAGAAAGAGACAGAGCGAGAGTGAATGCGTGGCACTCGAACGCATGCGCGTAGTTTACCTGCAACGAGTAGCGTCAAATATTCCAACGCAAGAGGGAGAGAGAAAGAAAGATACACAAAGGTAGAAAGTAGGAGAGAGAGAAAGAGATTGAGTCGGTAGATCTAGATCTAGCTAGATCACATGCGCATGGTATTGTTGCTATATAGCGAAGTAAACAGTGTGAGCGTCGTGAAATTAGCTGAAATACGTACTTGTTGTTCTATTTAAATTTTTATAAATTAAAATAGAACGATAATGAATATTATTATTCATTATCGTTTCTTTTAAATGATAATTAAAAGATGCGATCAATTGTGAATTGTAAGCTATGTTTTTAAATTTTGTCTTAAAGAAACAATATGATTTCACTAAAATTCAATTTCTACCCCTTCCTATTTACATTACGAAGTTTCACTTCTTCCGCGCGGTCCCTCCACGCACTATTTTTTTAATCAACGCGTGTAACATTCCTGCTTGTAGTTTATTTGCCTGTTTCGAAAATCGATTTAATCTGCGCCGAGGAAAAAAAAGGTACTAATTAAATATTTATCCGCATATAGAGCCCTTGCAAATGACCTAAATAAAATAATGAAATACTCACTCGTATCAGTTTCCTTGTGTCCTGAGAGCGTGTTAATTAAAATTGTATAAATACAAACCATAATTATTTCTGATATGTCATATCACGTAGCGTATTTTATGGATTCTAATTACATAATGTAATGAAACATTAGAAGTCAAGACTTTTAGGTTCTAAAATTATGAGCATACAACTGTGAATATGGAAGATAAACATCGTGGCTTACCTAGTTTATCAGGCGAAGTTCTAGAATCATCGCGGAACACTCGTCTTCTGAACTGAGGGTCCGGTGTGACTGGTTCGTATGGAATCGCGGTGCGTTTGAATATAATCTGAAGAATTAAACGAATTATCATGTTTTAGTCAACTCAAGTCAAGTCAAATCATTTATTTCAATTAGACAACCTAAAATGGCACTTTTGAACGTCAAATAAAATATAAAGATGATTCTAGTTGCCCCTTTTGGCCCACACGAAACTACGTGTGGAGAAGAATGGGCAAGAAACTCTACACTTACTCTTTTAAAAATAGGTTTACAATATTTTGTATAAATTAGTTAAATAATTGTATGTGAAGACAATGTACTCCTAGTATAAAACTACTATACTAAAAAAAGTTAGTATTCATGTTCCTCACATATTTACAAATATCGAAACCGTAGAATATTATACATTAAAGAGTAATTAAAATAAAATAAAAACACATTAAAACAGTGTATGAGATAAAAATTTAGAACCATTCTTGATAAAAGACCACTGTGCTTTCATATGGTGACAAAAAGGCAGGAGGCTCGCCTGACGTTAATTGATACCACCGCCCATGGACACCCAGAGAATAATTTAAAAAAAAGTCAAACAATATAATAAAAAAAATCTTACTAAAGTAAATATCTCTCAGTTTTTTTTTGTAATAGGAGGCAAACGGGCAGGAGGCTTAATGTTAAGTGATACCGGCGCCCTTGGACACTCATGTTGCGAGAAGGCTCGCAAGTACGTTGCCGGACTTTTAAGAACAAGCCTTCAGATTCGACCAGAAAAAAATATCGTTTCACAAATTGTGGGTTTGATTTCCGGTGATTTCTCCATGCACGTATGTAATAATAATAATAAAACTTTATTCATGACAGAAATATGGTTGTGACAAAATTGATTTAACGCTAGTCCCCACAGGGACCCCCTGTGTTGTGTGTAACTACAATTATTCCGTGGTACAAGGGGTATGTTCAAAACATTTTTTTAAAGAAAAAGCACTATTGGTGTTACGTCTAATCAAACAAAAGTCGTGTTAGACCTTAAGTGTGTGTGAATGTGTGAGTATAAAAATGGGTGTGTGTGCGTAATTTGTGGGTGTGGTTGAGGATTGTTAAGCGCATCTGTATTCGTTTTTAAAACCTCATATATAACGCTTTAATAATATTCATGTGCCGAATATATGTACCGGAAGTTTCAATTCCCGGCCTAATCGTGTCAAGGTCTGGTTAAATACAAAAATGTGATCGCCACATGTTTATTCTTACCTTACTGAGCGTATACACGAAGAAGACAATGATGCAAATGGTGTAGATGGGCATAACGAAGCCCATGGATGACTTGGGAGCAGTCACTGGTCCACCTGGAGAACCAAGCGGTGGCCGCATACCAGGAATTGGTGGAGGCTGTGGTTTAACGTATAACTATAAGCATGTAGCCACGTAATAGAGGAAACGTTTGATAAAAGGGGCTGGGACTAGTGCTAGACAGGCTACTTCTAATTAATTTGCGATATTTGTTTTAAAATAAGTGTTGTTTGATGATTTGCTATTTTAAAAGAGTACCGAGAGTTTTTTACGCCGGCTTTTTCTCTCGGCCTACACCCTCCGTCTTCTTTGCCGATGAGTAGGGATGCCTACAAATTCAAATTTAATGACGTGGAATAAGTGATACCTGTATCTTATGTTCCATAATAAAAATATTTTATTTTATTTTTTTATTTTAATCGATGTTGGAAGGACAAATAGTCTAAACCATTTTTGTGTCGCGACCCACGAAAAAGCCAAAAATTTAGTAAAACAGTCTTGCGACCCCGTCATTATAATAATATGTAGGTACATAGCGCGCTAATTTCACGAATCTTTTGTTCCTATATGAAGTTTGTATTTATTAAAACAGACTGCGACCCCCTTTTAAAACAAAACGCTTGAGAAACGATAGTCTATACAAAACTACTGTTTTTATTTTTCGTCCTCACCTTTGAGACCAGTGAGGCATTAGGGACACATTATCAACTCTTACTTTACACTACACTAACACTATTTTGATATTAAATAACACTTTGCTGAAGGGTTATGTTATTGCAGCAGCATTTTCAAAAGTGAGAAGAAATTGCCGTACGTAGTTTCAGAGATTCATAATCGAGTCTTAGCGCTACGTTCTCTCGTTTCTCAAAAGGTAATGAATATGACATGCTTAGCGCTGTCCCTCTGACTGATTCGCACTGATTCTCACCCTCACACTCGTGTCCCTAATCACTTACCTTGTACACATTTGGTTTATCCATGTTCTAACAAGAAAAGCAACCAATAAATTATGATTAACGCGCGTTAGTCGATATGACGAACATCGAACTGAATTTAATTCATAAACACCGGTAGCTGTTTACGACGTCGTGGTTTGATGCTTTCCTGTTTTCTATAGAACTGGGTAAGCTTGCGACTAGTCGCACCGTTAACAAGGCATTATATTATCAAAGGCCCTGAAATCCTTTAGCCTTATTTATCGACGCTTGCCAATGCTCGGCACACGGATACATTGCTACATAAGAAAAATAAAATATAAGATTTAATTTGACAAGCTAAGACATAGGTAAGCAAACATAACAAACACTAAGAGAAAAAAATCGGTTCATTAATTATAAAAACTAAAGGAGCAACTATGGATATCCAGACCTAGCACGTTTATCAGAATGCTCAATCTGGATATCGGTGACTTTTGGCCACTAATGTTTGAACTTTTAAAACAGACAGTCAAAAAGATAGAACATTTTTGCAGTTCTGTTTTCTGTTCTGTTTTTAAAACTCATTAAAATTCTAAAATAATTATAAAACTAGTCGCGAATATAGGCTAAAAGGTTTTATCTGTCTGTTTAAACAGTACGTTTCGGCGAAATCATTTTGCACACAGACGCAATGACACTCATTCAAATTCTGTTTAAGCTTTGAAGTGTCTGACTCGGATCGTACTTTTAATGAATGCCCCAAGAAAATCAATATCTGCCAACTCAAAGAACGTCTTCTAATAGACATAGCTCCATAATAGGTATATCTCTCATTTCTGTTTTGGGAGCGTTCAAGTATTACGTAACGAATTTTGGGGGGGGGAGTCCTTTTGTAAAACGTTACGATGCGGGGCGGGGATTGAATTACGCGTTATTGTTATTATTATTTTCTACTTACACCATATAATAGTAACTAAAGAGTCACTAGGTGGTCACGAAACGTTTTACTAGACTTGGGAACAGTTCTATACTTGGGTACTGAAAAACGTTACGAGTTACATGGGGGGTGGGGTCAATAATCTTTAAAAATTGCGTTACGTAATACTTGAACGCTTCCCTTACGCAGGCCTGTTGAAGTTACCACCAGAGAAAAAGAGTTAAAGCATGTCAAGTTTTGTGGAATGCGAGTGATATAACTTCTCCGTATATTGAAATTTGCGTTATCAACTTCTTTGTATAAAGGTTAGATTTATTTAATTAATTTGCGCGTTGTTCCTACGAGAATGTAAGTGCGAGCTCCTATTTCACCATGCCTCCTGCTGATAGAGGACAAATCTTTGTTTTTAATTTATTACCGCAACGTTAGACGGTAATACATTAAAATATTTACAAAAAGACTAATTTCTTACAGTATAGGAACTGACATGAAGCAAAACTTTTTTCAGTTCACTCAACGGACAGTTAAAACCCTGCCCTTTTCGAGAGACTAGTTTTCGCTGAGCTTAAGCAAGCCTAGACACTGGAGCACTGCTATACATATTTGCTTCATAATCACGTTACGGGAAAAATGTAAAGTTCAAGTATTACGTAAGCACTATAGCCCCCCCCCCCCGGTCTTAGATTTTTCTTATTTTCATATTGTTAATGCTTGAAAACGAAATGCATTTTCGAGGATTCCTACAAAAAAATTATACGTTGTGTATACTGTACTATTATTTATACTTGCTTTTGCTGACAAGAGGGGGGATAAATAGCAGTTAATCTGCTTACGTAGCTCTTGAACGACCCCATAGCAGAAATATATGAGTGAGAAGTTAATGATATCTTTTCAACCAGTTCCTTTTTTAACAAGTATCCAAAAATTATGTAACGTTGTATATTGGGCGATGCGCGGGAGTTGCGTCTATTTATATTGTCATGTGTGTCTAGGCCGGCAATGTGGGTCGTTACCAATGTCAGCGTCAATACAACGTGCTAGTTTCCTTAACGTCTTATCTCAAACGGGCTTTTAAACCATAGAGTTCGCTTTAGGCTTTTATTGCCATTGTTGACCTCTATTCATAGACTAGTACATGTTTAACGTAACGTTATACAAGTACGTATGTCTTTATTCCTGTTTTCGCTTTTATCTTTTGTACCCTAGAGACCACATCAACATTATAAACTATCTTCAAGACACGATGTTTCATATACCCGATTTGTATACGAGATTATTTTCAACGACAGTGAAACTACTACTCTAGATTTTTAAGCACAGAAATGCCTCTATCAACAGAATTTATTCAGCATTATATTGGTCAACATGATTCTCAACTCAAAGAACATCTTCTAATAGACATAGATCTATAGTGGGTATATCTCTCATTTCAGATTACGCAGGCTTTTCTTAATCTGCAGCGCCTGTTACCATCAGAGAAAAAGAGTTAAAGCCAGTCTTATGAGCTAGCTTCACGTTACTCTTATCAGGATTTTAACAGTATAGTAAGGTTTCATTTAAAATTACTTTGATATCATTTAAAGAATCTGCTTGATTCATTAACTCCATGTATTGAACAGTACTAGAGTTGTAGATTGGAGGAATTCAAGAGGAACAATAAGATAAGCAACAATATTTCGTACAAGAGGTTTCTCAGAGTTTTCGATATCATATACGAAAGAGGTTACAACCTATTTTTACTTTAACAAAAAAAAAATGCTTTAATCTTTCTTGTATCTAAATATTGGCACTACCGAAGCACCATAGCCTTTATTATTCTAATCTCTACCCAAATGTCCAGATGACTCAAACAAGCAGTTGGCAGGTATTCAAAGGGCGATAATAAATCGATTAGCTGACCGCTGATGCAAGTGGCACTGCCCTGCATTGTTAACTTAATACTGACTGACTTAACGAGGTCGTTTACTAGCTTTTGGATCACATTTGAATTTGGAACGAGATATTACTTAATAGCTTGCATAGAACTTGTTAAGCAAGAATAATATTTAACCATACAACGAAAGGAATTTGTAACTTTTTTCATAACAGTGTCACTATCACTCTGAAATCTTATTAAACCTGTTCCATTGTCTTTTTTTATAGAAGAGAGGGCAAACGGGCAGGATGCTCACCTTATGTAAGTGATAAGCCAATGGACACTCTAAATGCCAGAGGGCTCGCGAGTGTGTTGTCGTCCTTTTAAGAATTGGTACGCTCTTTTCTTGAAGACCCTCAGAGGCCAGCTAGTTCCACTGTCTGGTTAGTGGTGGTGCGCGGCAGAAACTGCCTTAAAAAACGCTCAGTTGCTGACGTCGAAATATACGGGTGGAATTTCGTATTCTGCCTTGACGTCCGATGATTAAACTAAAATGAATCTAAAATTGGTTGTTTCTTTTTGCGTGACTGCATATGAACAATTAAATTATCAGATCTCATGTTGAATTCTTATTCTCCTAGCACTCTTCAGAAACTCTATCTATACCTTAGTCAAAATGTTACTTAGCCATTACATTCATAACACAAGTTATGAGGATTATAATAAAAGCTCTTTGGAACAGGTAGGTTACAATTCACTTGGCTGTTGGTATTACCCTACCCCCAGATTCAGAATTATTTATACTCCAAGGGACCGAAAAATATTCTAGCGGGTGACTCACGGAATTTAAAAAAAAGTGCGTGCGTACAAAGTACACATGTCAGAAGTGAAACTTCTTTGGCAAACTAATTTTTAAGTCTTGTTCATATTTATACAAATCTAAATTTTTAGATTTCCGAGATTTAGAGGGAGGGAAAAAGAAAGATATTATGTTAGGAATTTAATTGTCATTAAAATATTAAATGTCGAAAATTAATACAAATAATAAATTAAATTTGTTCGATAATAAAAACACGTGACATTTTAATTTACAATTCGTCATTTGAGATTTCAATGAATCATTTTGCATAAAATATATAATACTAATATTTCGTAAATTCTCTTTACGAAATTTAAATTTTAAAAATAGAATTTCTTTAAGGTAATTCACCCTCCTCACTCTCTCTCTCAATCGGTCTCAATCGCTCTCTCCCTTTTCTTCGACAAAAACGCTGCACATCTTCGTGACGTTTTTTACAAATTTGACCCTAAAGAAGTTTCACTTCAAAAACATCGCAGTCGTACTCTTTGTATATTATTCAAAACGTTATCT